TAGGTAATATAATTATTTTGGCAGGATCAGCCCGTCAAAAAGCCTGACATAGTCACCTTGCAAGAATAAACAGGAAGGAAAGCTGGAAAATGAGAGCTTGCTGGACCCACTTCAGTCCTGACATGAAGTTCACCATGTACTAAGGTGGGTTTAGGTACTTTCTTCATGGCCACCTCGCTGCTTGTTGCACAGAATTACCTTAGAGGTAATACTAGAGAAATGCCACAAAACAAAGATCAGGTTTGATAAGCAATCCTCTTGTTTACGTATACGCTATTTGTATTGATCCTAACGGAGAGATTTGCCTATGACTCAGGAATGCTAAGCATTTAAAAACTGTTGCTGAAATCATCGATGTGTTGAACAGAAGGCAATCTGTCATTTCATTCAATTGTGCCAAGATTTCAAGCCATGCTTACGCTGGGAATCTTGACAGACCCATAACTAAATACTATTGATTAGCCATCACTGTGTTTTTAATGTTGTTAGGCAGAAGGTTGTGCAACCTTGCAGTTGGTTCCCACACAGTCTACTGGAATATATTATTATTATTATATTGCTTATATTGGCAACTAGACATATCTTTATTGCAGGCTCAGATTAAAATTATGGTATTTACACACAGGTGTTATATTTCTAGCTTTATGATATAATTCACAAGGTCAACACGTGACACAGACTACAAACATAAAGTCAAGAAAGACGTGGAATAACTTTTGTTTTCTTTTTTTTAATCATACACTTGAAAGGATTTCTTCTGTAGCACTATCAGAAACAGACTTGAGACATTAAATAACACCAAGAATTATTATTTGAAGCCTTGCAACAAACAATGTTATCTTTATCTAACAAGGTTTGTTACCCAATGTTTTTGAATAGATGTTAAGAATTTATTTTCTAAACAACTAGTTATTAATTTTCTAAACAACAAGTGTCAACATCAGTTGTCAGCAAAAAAAGATTTGCAAAGCCAGCAGATGGAGTAAGAGAACATTTCATTTTTCCAAACTTAGCAGCAGGGCCTCAAAAGTCTTTCCTTATTAAGATTTAATTGTGATAATTCTTAAAAAGAGCTAAACATCTATACATTATAAATGTTGATGATGTAATCCAATGGCTTCAAAAAAGTTGTTTGTTCATGAACTTCATAACTTAAATATCTCACTAGAACTAAAACTAATATCCAGGTGAATTGTGGTGACATTCACTTAGTTGCCCAAGTCTTGTGATTTTTGTCTTATTCCGTGAAGTACTGAGTGCCTCTTTCTACGTACACCCTGATGCAATGAACATTTTACTTTAGTTGCTTTATAGCTAAGTTGACCTCTACAAGATCATGTTTTTCTCCATTATGTGTTCTAGTAAATGGTTTTCAGTAGTACAAACTTTTATAGTTTTTGCAGAAATATGCCTGTGTTTTATATATGCATTAAGATACATGTATATATTTGTTCAGGAAAGAAAGAGAACTAACTGGTACATACATATTGAAAGCCCTATCTGCAAATGACAATACAAAGATAAGACTAATTCTGTATTTTTGTTGTCCTTGCTTTTCTTTATTTCAAAATGATCTTTAACTCCTGATGAATAATGATTCTCTTCTAAATGCAAAAGATCATTTAGGTCTATTTACATTATTATTTTTTTTAAAGAACACAAAAATAGCACAGAACATTAGTCTTTATTTTGACTAGTTCAACACACAGTTCATGTATTTTTAGGGGCATATTCTGCAATACAGTATCTTTGCTCTATTACTGTTGATCCATTTAATTATTTGCAGTCAGTCTTCTGGTAATCAGGCAAATTATCAAGCTTCTGCTACAGCATATTAGAAATGACACAGATCTTAGAAAAACATTTTCTAAAAAAGTTAATTTAGGATAAACCATCATGTTGTAGCAAACAAGGTCAAGAGTCCCTTCAAAAAGGAGACTATTTCATTGCCTCCCAGTTTAGATTCTCCATAGACACGGTCCACAAATGAGATAGGAACCTGTTGAAATAAGCAAAACTATTTTAAGATCCCAGATCAAATAATCAGATATTCTGTAAACAAAAGCAGTCTTTGAACTTGGCTTGCTTTAAGCTGGAAAGCACTGAGAATATTTGCTTTCTCACCTCTAAAGATGACCTAAAGGCATTACTGAGTGGCTGGTTACCACACCTATTCTCAATAGGATCCTAAGTGCACTAAAAGCCTCGGGGCTCAAAATTAATCTTTTATTTCCTCTTTAAATACACTAATTTTGAGTCAATGCCTCAAGAAGGCAAATTATCCCTGGCTGCCTTGAAAAAGCATCCTATTCAATCTCACCACTAACTAGAAGACACATCTGAATATGGCAGTTAATATACGTGCATGTTTACAAGTCATACCTACCTTTGTAGTTTTTAACCATTTTATAGATTATTCAAAAGTTAAAAGATAATTTAAAACATTAATTTTGATTTTATTACATGCTCACACTGTCCAGATTCACTCACTACTCCAAAAATTTAGAAACATACTGCTTTTCAGTAACGTGAGCAAATACTTTAGCAGCTCACTCTGACCATACTATATTAGAACATGTAAGAACTTCAGTATATGTTTGTGTGTGAAATCAACACACTTCAGGGACTAGAATTAAAAAAAAACAGAAACAAAACTGCATTTGCAAGTGTCATTAAAAATCTGGCTGAGACTTCCACTGGAATTTGCAACCAGAAATCAGAAATTACACACTTATGTGTAAGTGGAACACATGAGCTGTGCCAGGACTGAGGATTTCTCACAATTCTAAGCAGATCGATCTATGGTAGAGGAGAAACCAGGGCATTTGGCAACAAGAAATGACCTAGAAAGGCATAGACTTGCTGCGAGAATGGCTCTGGCTATCTTTGGAGGATTCCTTTGATGATTCTCAAAAGCATCCTAGCAGCTAGGGAGAGCTAAGGGACATGGACAGAAATCACTGAAGACATCGACAGTGCAGGATGTCGGAAGTGACACTTTGTGACTGGTAATGAATGAGTAGTTTGTATCTAATCTGGTAGAAGATACCTAATCTTCCCCAGTACTGGAATTAACCCCCTGGGTAGCTGCTGCACTTCGCCCTTCTTGCGTAAGAGACTGTATCATAAAGATACGAACAAGAACAATTCAGTGAAACCGGAGAGGCAGAAATCAGACTGCAGAGAGTACAGGATAGAAATACTGTGTGGAGTTTTCTTTAATGGCTATATTCATATAGAGAGTTTAGATATGGAAAGGTGCATTAGCTGGCAAGTTGGGGAAGAACAAAGAAATGAGTGATGGAGGACAATAAATCACAAATAGAGTTGGGTTACTGGAGACAGTGAAATGATCTGATAAGAACTAGAGACATCTGTACAGTAAAGGGGAAAGAAAAGGCGCAGAGAAGGTTCATGGTATATTTTGACTTTTTTTTCCTTCCCCTTTGAAGAGTGTGGCAGAATCTTATTAAGAAATAAGAACAGAAGGAGGAAAAGATCCAAGAAGCATATTACACATGATGAATAGTAAGTGGAATTGATGATTTGTCATTCAGCTAAGGTGGAAGAGGTAGAGTTCAACATGTTTCATTTCTTTAAATTGTTATGAAAATCCTGCTTCCTCTTGGAGGTGGTCGGAATTTTCTAGGCTCCCAGCAATCTGCATGTACATTTAAATGAAAACACAATACACTTATCAATGCTTTTACTATACCTCTCCAATAGTATATCCTAACTGTCTAGCCCGAACAATCATCTCCATCTGGAAGACGTATCCTTTAGAAACACATTTTTCCATTAGTTTCTGTAAGACTTCTTTTTTGTATAACCTGTAAATGATTACAAAGAAAATGAAACCCATGGCATTATTTTTGAATTTCAGAGATCAAGACAGTATGTGTTGGTATCTTAACTGTAATCACTTACATCATTACTACTTTAAAAACTCATCAACAAAGTTGTAGGAACAACAGCTCTTGCAATTTAATTTACAATCTCTTACCTGCACCTAAAACAAATTCCATAGTCCTCATTGAAAGAGGGGTGCTCCTATTCCCTCTTTTTTTGCTCTTGTTTAACAGTTTCTTGATCTCTAATAAGCCTTAGGCTTGCAAAACAGATCCATACCTGAAACTCCCAGTTAAGTCAGATGCTCCTGGTCTCAGCAAAACCTGAGTTAAAAAATTGGCACCACGACTGTGAAAGGAAACATGAACATCAGAATTACTTAGTATACACAACTCAAAAGGATCAAGTAGTTTCTGGAAAATAAGTAATCATCATCACATTAGCCAAAAAAGAAATCTTTGCTCATTTTGAAAAAATTATATTCCTAATATGTTCCCAGTACTAGATTTGAGTTGAGAATGTTCATCTTAAAGGCAAACCCCAAAATTTTGTTTTGCAAAGATAGATCTTTACACAGATTATTGAATTACTCCTGTGAAGGAAAACACAGTGATTCTTAGAAAACAGACTTAGTTTGGTCCCTTATGGCAGAATAATCAATGCAACTACATATTTTATTACAGTACAAATGAAACACCTTTGGCAAAAGCCATTTTCTTTCTGACTAACATTCAGTGTAACGGAAGAATAAAAAAGCATCTTGGATAAACATCAGACTTGGATTTAGAAGATGTAGGTTCAATTTCAGTTTAGGATGTTTCTACACGTATGGTAAGGATAAGCTTTGCTGATATTTTAAAACTGGGAAAAGTGTCATAGCCTCTGTTTGTATTCCTTCTATGAGGAAGCCAAAGAACTATCCTAAAAGGATGCACTGCAGATCTGTCCACTGTTACACACAATCTCACCAAACTGGTCATATGATTAAGTTATTTCTTGATGTTTCTTTAACTGAAGAATTTGCAAATCATTCATTGCAATCAACAATTCTACTACTTAATATAGTTTTGCAATAACAATAGTACTCGTTAAAGACTTTGTTCATCTAACACAGAGTGGCAATTCAAATACCTGTAATATTCCTGGAGGTGAATTGATGGCATCGTGATTTATTGTTTGATTCTGCACTTGAAAGCCTCAAAAATTTCTAAACAACAAATTTAAACACAAACAACATGAAAAATACTAACCTGATTAATTTTCTTTTCAAATCCCACCCATGTACTCCTCCATTTCCTTTATATCTTGTTCCAGATACGATATCAAAATTTCCTTCTTTCTGCTTCCTATAAGAAGTTGGTTTTATTGGAGGAAAAAAAAAAAGCAATCAACAAATAAACAAACAAAAAAACCAATCACTGTATTAATAGAAAAACTGTATTTTACAAGCTTTCAATCAAATCAGTAAAGAAGAAAGCAGGAAAGCAATAGTTATGATGCATTTAAAGCCTGTACATTCTACTATCCTTATAAAGAGCAATTTCAGAGTGCCTTATGATTTGCTTTTATCAACATATTATAATTACTTTTATCAATTATAGAATTCCTTATTTTATCAGAGAATTCAAAAGACTGCTTCATAAATAATTTATATAAACTTATTATGTACTTTCAAAGCAAAAAAAAAAAACAGTCTCTCTAGCATAAAAGGTAGTATAATTCAAAATATAGATTTAAATATTTAATTTACACAAATGCATAATAATGAAAAATAAGAAGCCTGGAACTATCCTCAGCACACCATGCCTGACTGCTGCAGAACCTTACCTAAAAATTTTAGATCTCCAGTACAAGTTAGCAAGAAAACTGAAAATTATGCTACTATTCATTGTAATTGAAGGAAATCAATTTTTTATTGATTTGATTATTTATTTTCAAGATGTAAAGGTTTTATGTGGAATACAACTGATAATTAAAATAATAAATAAATACGTAGAAGTGTTTTCAATGCCTAGCCCTACAGAAATTAAGACCCCTCCCTCTTTTACATCGTTATCCACTACAAAAACCCTCAAACTGAATGCCACATTCACTACTACTTGTGAAATCTCCTTGATTTCAATTAGTTTACAAAATACTGTAAAGCATGTTGCCTTACACGGATGAATCCAACCTGTTTTTCAATCCTAGAAATTAGCAGGAATAGAAACATTTCAGAAAAAAAATCTTTACTCATTCAGTCAATCTCCCTACATGCACACATTAAGAGTCCATTAAGATTAAAAGATGCTGTTTAAATATATGCCTTTGAAAGCAGAACAACCAGTAAAGGAGGAAGTACTTTGCAAATGTACCGTTTGTTTCTTTAAATTTGGGGAACTTGGTTCAAATTAGGAACTAACATGTTCTGGGATACCTGGGGACAAATCTAATGAGGTCCAATAACTTCTTCAATTCTTGCAAGTTGTCTTACTGCAGTTAAATAGCTGTACAATGATATAAAGCTTTCAAATACTACTACAAAATGATAAATGCTCAGAAGTCATTCTTATATTAGAACTGGCACTCACCTGATAAACTCTGCAATAAATTTAGGCTGAAATAGAAAGAAAATAGATTAAGAGAGAAGTGTGCAGGTGAAATCAACTATAGCATTTGAAAAATACAATATATAAAATACAAACGTACATGGTGAGAAAGGTCAGCATCCATAATAACAATAAAATTCCCAGTGGCGTGCTTCATTCCATGGATATAAGCAGTGCCTAAGGAAAACAGTACAGAAATAATTTCCATCACTATTTTAACATATGCAGTCTATGCAGCATAACAGTTAATAAGTACTTACCCAGGCCCAACTTTTTTGCTCGAGGTCTTAGAAGCTGCAGGATATAGTGAAATACACACATATTACATTTTTAAATTGCTTTCTGCAACATTTTATACTGTTATAGAAATATTTTAAAAGATACCTTTTATTTTAAAATACTTAGATAATGCATACAAAGTATCTGACAAAATACATACAATAAAACCATTAAGTAGGAGTTTAGATAAATCACAGAAATTTATTTAATCTTAAATTAGTAATCCTTCAGGAAAAAAAAACGAAAAGAAAAAAAGAAAAAAAGTAATCACTGTCATAGCTTAAGGATTTCTCATGTTATACTACTTGAAATACAGTTATAAATCTGAGCAAAAGTCTCCCTGCCATCATTACTTTCAAGGAAGGAAAAACACTATTTTTTATTATTTCGACTACCGTAAATATGTCATTCACTAGAATGCGGCACATGCACAGAGTACCGAAACATGCTCAAAACATTAACTGCTGGTTGTGACTTCCCATGTGCAACGCGGTGCTCAACTGTCACAGCTCCCCGAGCGGCCCTAAACACCCTCCGCGGGGCAGGCACCGAGTCCCTGTCGCGGGGCCCCCGTGTCGCGGTCACTCACGATCTTATCCGGGCCGTAGATCTTGACCAGCTGCTCCGCCCCCTCCTGCGTCCCGTCGGG